AAAAAAATCAAAAGAATTTATTATTTCAAAAACTTCTTGGACGAATCTGGAGGCCATAATGCTCAGTGAAATAAGCCAGGTGCAGCAAGCCAAATAACACAGGATTTTACACATGGAATCTACAAAAGTCCCACTCACAGAAGCAGAAGATGGGTTAGTGGTTATGAGGGAATAGGGGGCGGGAGGATGGGAAGTTATTCTTTAAGGGTCACAATCAGTTATACAAAAAAACCCTTTTAAATCAACAACAAACCCCAACATAATCGATTAAATAATAAAAAGAATCAATCAAGAAGTTATTAAAATTAAGAAGAAATTTAGATGCTATTTACAATAGCAATGAGAATGAAATATTCAGCAATGCCTACATCCTTTATAAAGAAAATTGCCTAATTTTCAAAGACAAAAAGAAGAGTCAAGTGAGTGAAAACACATGGGTATTCAGAGACATATTAGAAGTTGTCCGTTTTTCCTCCAGGTTGCTGTGGCTTGGTAAAAACCACCCTGGACACAGTGGCATGACGACCAGCTATTTTTATCATGCTCACAGCATCTGTGTGCCAGAGTTTACAGAGTTCAGTGGGTTGGGTTGGGTGGCACCCAAAGACCTCTGCTTCCAAGATGGTGCCTTCATCCCATGTCTGGCCTCCAGGCTGAGCTGACTTGCAATTTAGCTCACTGGGAGTGTGTCCTCGCACCAACATGTGGCTTGGCCTGGGAGGCACTGGGCTTGAGAAGTAATGTGCAGATGACACGTGATCCCACGTTGGGAAGAGCTGCTCTGTATGGTGTGAGAACCCTCTCATTGCCGACACTGCATCCTACGGCTCAAAGGAAAACCCCGCTCTCCTGCAGAAGAGAACCCTGCTTAGACACTCACAGGTACTTGGTGGTGAGGGATGTTTAACTAGAATTTGGGTTTGTGCCTATAATCTCTTTCTTGTTTTTATTTTCCCCCCCTTTTCCAGGTGAACCGATGCTGCCGAGTTGCGAACCTGGAGAGCCTATGATTTTATTGATTTGCTCAATTATAACTCAAGATAAACTTGGGTACTTATGACCTGCCTTGGTGGGAAGCTGCAGGGGAGGAAACTGCTCCTGTCTGTACCGAGGAGTCACCGGAACCCTGCAGGCAAGTGCCCCGGGTCTGCTCACTGCCTTCCCTTGGGGCTTGAGGAGAACACACAGAAACAGGCTGGGAGACACTTATGGAGCAAGCCTGTGTGTTCCCTCCCTGGAAATAGAGAATTTAGTCAATTGCTCCTCTGACATAAAGTCCAGTTCTTGCAAAACTGATGATTTCTCTGGCGAGGTCATTCTCTCACCTTTCCTTTATGGTTAATGATAGACGCATTTTTGATTGAAGAAATGAGCTTTAACTTCACATCTTTTAGAAAAAAAATGAAACAACTGGCATAGATTAAATAAAATTTCCTCCAGCTGACCTCTGAATATGGTGAAACGGCAACATTTTAAAATTGTCTATGAGGCAGCCCACTTGGAATCTAAGCCTAACTCTAGCTCTTACAGCTGTGTGACTTGGGCAACTTTCCTCACCTGTCTGCAACTCAGTTTTCTTATCCACAAAAAGAGGAAGATTTATATCCTGGACTTTCATTAATAGATTAATCCATGGGAAGAATCCCAGGGTGTGCTGCTCAGAACTAGCTCAATGACTGTTAGATGTTAGTATAATCGCTTAGTGAAACAAATTTATAAATACTTTTTTTATGAATCAAGAAAAAAAATTGCTGATCAGAATATGAATAGCCAATAGCACGTGAGAAGATATCCAACACTGGTAGTCATCAGGGAAATGCAAACCCAGACCACAAGACACTACTGCTCTGGCTACCATAATGGCAAGAGGCACAACCAGAAAACAGCAAGTGTCGGTGAGGATGTGGAGAAGCTGCACCCCTCAGATCCTGCTGGGGGAAGGTAACACAGGGCAGCTGCTGTGCATGATGGCTTGGCAGTCCCTCAAACCCCAAACACAGAATCCCCACACAACCCAGCAGTTCCACCCCAGGCACACACTGAAAAGAATAGTCACCTAATGATGGGGATGCATTGTGAGCTCTTAGGTGGTTTTACTACTACTACTACTACTACTACTACTACTACTATTATTATTATTATTATTATTTTTTTTTTTTTTTTTTTAAAGAGAGAGAGAGAATTTTTTAATATTTATTTTTTAGTTCTCGGCGGACACAACATCCTTGTTGGTATGTGGTGCTGAGGATCGAACCCGGGCCACACGCATGCCAGGCGAGCACTCTACCACTTGAGCCACATCCCCAGCCCCTGGTTTTATTACTGTGTGAACTCTGTAGAGGGTACTTATACAGACCAAGGTGGCTACGGCCCACGAGGTGACATGATCTTAGGACCACTGTCGTGTTTGCAGTTCATTGTTGACGAAAACGTTGGTGTCAGGGCTTGACTGTGTTTGTAGACTTGTTGTAGCAGCAGCATTGTTCGCCACAGCCATGAGTGGAAACAACCCGAAGGGCCATCAGCAGACGAACCAACAAAATGTGGCACATCCCCACCATGGAATACTGTCCAGCTGTAGAGGGAGCAGTGCTGACCCATGTCACCTCATGCACAAACTACAAGAACATGGTGCGGAAAGAGAGAACGCAGACAGGAAGGTGGTGCATCCCAGGACTCTATTGCCTCGAAATGTCAGGGGTCAGCAAATCCACAGAGACAGAGGCTGATCAGTGGTTGTCACAGGCAGGAGGAGAGATGAAGGGTAGTGGGCGCGACTACTTACTGAGTATGAGGTCTGCGTCTGAGGTGATGGCGAAGTTCTGAAGCTAGGTAGCCACGATCGCTGTGCAACGTGTGAATGTTCTGAGTTGTAGGGTTTTGAATGTTCAAAAGGTACTATGGTAACTACATTTTACTGCACTAAAAAGTGCTGATTAGAAGAGCATTTTCTCCACTTAGCTATGGGGACACATGGGACAGACTTTCCCTGAAGGGGGCTCCAGGCAGATTGAGCCTCCATCCTGGGCTCTGCCAGCTGGCTTGAGGTACAGAGGTGCTGCACATGCACAAAGGGGTTTCTTGGAAAGAACGTGGTCCTGTGCAGCGGGAGCACCTTGGCTGGTGGAGCCCACAAAGTGGTCTGGTTCCAATCCTTGATGCTGGTCACTCTTGGTCAGGGTGGAATGCTGCTTGTGAACACGTGGGTTATCCCTTTTCAGAGGAAGAGAGGTGGCCCCAACATGACAGAGGAGACCCAGAGGCAGCAAGGGCTGGGTCCTGCAGAGACCCGGACGGCGAGGGCTGAGGACAGGACCTGGGTTGAAGGGAGAAGCAGTCTCCTGGAGCACAGGACTGGTGTGGAGGAGGCAGGAAGCAGCTTCCCCTGCAGGAAACATGGGCAGGCAGCCAAGGACAGAAGTGGGGAAGAGCCCCGGGCTGTGATCCTGAAGAGGCGCGCTGTTCCGGCTCGTTTCTCTGTCGGAGAACCACAGCCCCCACCACCTGGCAGGCCTCTTTAGTGCCACAGGCCCAGTTCAGATGCTGCTGCTGGAGTCAGCCCCAAACCAGCAAAGGCCTTCCTGGTCCCGACTTACAACCTCTGGACCCTGTGAGGGCTTAAAGCGTGTCCACCCAAGCTCTGTTTCACCGTCAGCTACATTCATGAGATCTTGGCATCTTCTTATGGAGGGGGCTTGTGTTAGGTGATTCTGCCCAACAACAGCTCAGTGTTCTGAGCTTGGTTAAGATAGGCCGTGGTAAGAAGCTGGGTGTTCTGTGGGTTTAGTGCATGGAATATGTTTTCACATTCAGCATTTTCCACTGACAATGGGGCTATCTAAGTGGAGCAGCAGCTATACAATGAATCATTTACATCTTTCTGGCAGCTCGACTTCCTTCTGTACCTCAGACGGGGTGCCCGGATCTGCCCTTTGCACCTTGCATCCTGGTTACCCAGCACCACCTATGGCAGCCTGGCCTCCAGGGCTTGCTGAGTGAGGAATGGTGGGTAGACTTCAGCTCGGTGATTCCTGGCTCTTTTTCCTAGGACCACACTACTCTTGGCCACCTCCAAAAGAATCACCTGATATTTCTGGACAGAGTGGCTGAGCAAGGCCAAGCTCTCGGTGCCATTGGAAACCCCCATCTTGGCCAGCATGTGGGGTGCTGGATGTTACCTCCTTTTTGGTTCCCTTCTAAACGGGGTGCAGGACGGGGACAACAGACTGCAGTTCACAGTGAGGGTACTTGGAGGTCTCACGTGCTTCCCGCAGGCTTTGCTTTCTGCTTTCCTTGGCCTTAGCCCAAGCCTCTCGGCAATTATTTTTGGCTCATTCAGTGAATAGCTGTAAATCAAGCCCTTCTGTTCTGAGTGCCTAATGCAGGCTTGTCTGCAGGTCGTGGTTATAGTGTGACTGGACAGTCTTGTTCGTAAGGCTCTTCGTCCCTAACTCAGTTCCTTGTTTTGTGTGCTCTACCCAGCCCACTCTCCCAGCTGCATGGAAACTCTAAGTGGGTTCCCCGCGGAGGAAAAGTTCCTCAGATCTCAGACCCCAGATCTGAGAAATCCTGTCCTAGAATTCCCAAATATTTAATCTGCCTAGATCAGCACAGGGCCCGTCTGAGTCCCTGAGGCTTTGTATTCAGCAATGGGGAGAACAGGACCAGATTGTCTCTCAGGGTGAGGGACCCACAGCAAAGCTTCTCACGCTGCTCACGGACACCACAGACAGCGCCCCCTGCTGGGGGCTGGGGTGAGACTGGGCTACTCGGGGTTCTAGGTCCCTCTGTTGCAGCAATCGGACACTAACTTTCCACTTGGGCCAACACAACCAGCTGAAGGTTCTGGAGCAGTCTGGAATGGGTCCTGTGGGCCAGGCCCAGGCGTTGGCTGGACGATCTTCCTCCTGGAGACTCCAGGGGGGCACTGTTTCCTTGTAAAGGCCAAGAAGTGCAGGGACCTCTGTGAGTTGGGAAAAGTCAGGAAACAGAGGCTGCCCTTTTCCTTAAGTGATGTTGTTTAATAACGTTAAACACAGTTGTTACAGATTGCGGGCGGAATGCTTTGTCCCTGCAAAACTCTTTTGTGGGAGCATTTTGGGGGCTGTGGGGGTGGTTGGATTTGGAGGGTGGCGCCCTCATGGGTGGCTCAGTGTCCTTATGAGAGTCCCAGGGAGCTCTCTAACCCTGTCTCCTCCACGGGCAGACATGACTGAAGGTGGCCGTCTGCCACCTGGGAGGGGCCTTCCTGGGACCCGACCGCCAGCACCTGATCTCTGACTTCCAGCCTCCAGAACTGTGAGAGATAAGTGCTGATCTCCAGCCCCCGTGTGCGGCATTCTGTTACGGCAGCCTGAGCTCCCTGATGTCAGAGAACAGAGGAGATGGGGAGGGCTGGGAATGGCTCCCACACCGCAGTCACGTCCAGTGCTGGACAACGTCATGAGTGATACGGAAGCCTGGGCTGCTTCTCTCCATGGGGACATTACCTGCAAAAGACAGGCCTGGCTCAGTGGTTCTCATTTGGGAACTGGTAAGAGAAGGGCTCACCCCGACTCACAAGCGGTCCTGGTGCACACAGACTTTGTGTCCCAGTGTGTGGTCAAGCAGGCTGTGGGCTCCTTGAGTGGAGAGACTCAGGTGGGATCCTGCTCCCGGCTCCCATTCCCATGGCTGCAAGATCCCGTAACTCACAGTGCATTCCTTTAAGTCAAGCACCCCCTCTCCTTTTAAAATAGGGGAGGCCAAGAAACACTTTGATTCACTTGTGTTGCAGTCTCTCTGGGCTCCCTCCAGCATCCCTTAGACCATCAGCTATTTTTATTACACAACCAAAGAGAGAGAGAGAGAGAGAGACTAATGTTTCCTGCACATGATGCTTTCTATTGATTAAAAGAATATGGTTTTCCCCAGGGGATTATTTTTGTGTCATAGGGTGAGATGAAAAGCCACCAGCATTTACGGGTCAGAGGAAAATCCTACAAGTGATTTGCACACTCCGGGGGCAGAGTTCCTGGAAGGAGGGTCTCCTTTCCTGGTGCTCGTGGGGTGGCAGGCTGCAGCTACTAGGCTTGTACCAGTCTTGTGCTGGGGAGGACCCCACGACCTTGAACAGCAACGAACCTGGAAAAAAGCTACAGAGTTCTTGTCATTCTCACGTCCATGATGTGACTTTGGAAATGGCCCACCTTCACTGGACCATATCCTCCCTCTCTAGGCAAAGTACTGAGAAACAAACATCTTAAGAGTCTGTGGAAGCACTCTTGCCGTTGCAGGCTGCTGGAAGGTGCACATGTTCCCGACTTCCGCAGGTGCTAGGGAAAGGCCAGATCAGCTTTGACGTCCAAATGCCACATCAGCTTTGACGTCTGCGTTTAATGTTGGTATGTTACTGTGGTGTGTCAGGTTGGGAAACACGAGACCATGATGTATGAGCTGGAGTTCTCAGTATCAGACCACGCTCTCTGGGGATGTTTAGTAGATGTGAGTGGAGTATTTCTTGAGAACCTGCCCAGAGATCTGGAGTTGGACGGATGTTTATGGAGTCTAAGAAACAAGAGCTCCTGACTAGCTACAGTCTGGAGGCTCTTTCTTTCCTCCATGTTCTCCTCTTGTGGGATTTGTCCTTTTTTCTTTCTCAGCGAGAGTCTGACGTGTCCAGGTTGGTCTGGAGGCCAGGCCAGGCAGAAGCCGGAGGCGGGCTGGTGGGTGGGATGATCCCAGCTTGTGGCTGGAGACCTGGCTTCTCACCTGCTTCCCTGGTGTCCTGCTGAGTGGCCAGATCCTTGTGGACAATCGCCGGAGGCTGTGTACGAATCATGGGTTTGTTCGAGCCATCACAAGGCTGGAGGTTGCTTTTCTGAGAACTCCTGGCTGGGATTAAAGCTGACACTCCACCGTAGCTCACCTGGGCCTCGGCTCTTGCTGTCCATGCCTTGATTCTCTGGTAACCAGCCAGGTGCCACCCTCTGCCTACCTGAGGGTGCTGCCCAACGTTCGCTCCCAGGGCAGGACCCTCATGAACCTGAGTTCCACTGGTCCCCAGAGTTGTCACAGAGGAGTGCTCGGGAACCACAGCCTGATGAATAAAGCTGGCCTCTGTGTACCGGCAAGTTCAGGGAGGCAAATCGACTTCCCAGGGAGGGAGACTCAGAAACCGGCAGCAGAGGTTTAGAAAGCTGCTGGTCAGGGCCAGCAGGAAAGCCTGGCCAGGAGGACTTTGGAGACCTGTGATTCCACGATAGGGCTGGGCTTGAACGGAGGTCAGCTGAGGGCTGGTGTCCAAGCTGAAGGTGGGGCAAGTTCGAATGGGGAGCAGTAAATGCAGGAAGGTCAGGAAGGAGGACAACGAGCCCGAGGCCCAGGCGAGCAGGTGGCCCCCCAGGAGTGGAGCTCTGGCTGCGACTCCATCACAGCTCTGAGAAGTCCCAACACACGGGAGGCCTAGGACGCTCCCTGCTGACTGCGTTAGTGATGCACAAGGACTGACAGTTTGAATCCATGACGGTGAAATTTGAAAGTGAACTAAGCTGAGTGAGCACTGCCCCCTTCAAAAAACGTGCACGAGATGCAAGTTTCATCCTTATGTCCAGTTCTAGTTCCTTCTCATATTTAGACTGGAATCTTTGGGCTTCTATGTCCAACTTCATGAGGAAAAAGGAAACAACACAAAGCAAAAAGGCCAATCTTTGTGGAAATTTAGACCTGCTAGTGCCTGGGAGACCCGCGACATTCCCACAGTCTCTCTCTGTGGTCCTTTCCTGGCTCGTGGGTAGACACGGGTTCATTCATTCACCAACAGTGGATGTGTGTTTGGGTTCCTGAAATGGTGAGACCGAGCATCCTCTGAGCTCATGCCCAGTGTGAAGGAAAAGTGCACTGAGCTCAACGTGGGTGGGGGTCATTTCTCTCTCTCTCTCTCTCCTCTCTCTCTCTCTCTCTGTTTTGGCCATAAGCCAATTCCAGCATGTACATATCTATATATTTCCCATGACCATGGTGGCTGAGATGCCCTGTGACCTGCCCTCTGCAAACTGAAGACCCAGGACACTGGATGTGCAAGTCAGGCCGAGGACAGGAGATCCATGCCCAGCTTGGAACAGAGCGGGGGCTTCCTGGCTCAGCACTGTGCCCTCTTGGGCCTCTGGCTGGCTGAAGCCCACCCACAGTGGGAGAACCGTTTGCTTCATCCAGTCTATTCAGTCCCATGCTGTTGCATCAGGAAACACGCTCACAGACACACCTAGAAGTAATGCTTAATCCATGCATACCTGTGAGAAAGACAAAACGTCCCACACATCCAATACTTAATCTGAACAAAAAATATACTTAAGAGAAAAAAATAAATGAGTATATTTTTTTACAGTGATTAAACTCACATTAGCAGGATAAGAAATACCATTACCAAAGAAGCACATTTGACAACTTTTATATTTCTTTCCCAATTCTATGAAATAGTTATGAGAGAAATACTTTTAGAATTATGAAAGAAATATAAAAATTGTCAAAATCAAAATAGAGTTGCTTGTGTCAACCCAAACACAAAAGAGTAAGAGCTGGAAGGTTATGAAGGAAGGGTCTTATGCAGAGTCCCTGGTAGCACCCACCACAAAAGACGGTCAAAAACACAGCTTTGCCCAGAGGTCACCACAGCCTGACGTAGAGGCTACTTCTGCAAGGATGTCTGCCCAGCAACTGTCCGTCAGCCCACACTGACTGGCTGTTAGTCACAACCTCAGCCACACTTGTCATCAGTCTTTGTGACCAAGGATCATTGTTTCAAAACATCTGATGTAACTCACTGTTGTCTTTAAACAGTTCCCCCGGCCTCACCCTCTTTGAATGTGAATGTGCCCGTAGTTTGCCACAGCCCCGCACTCCCTCTATTGTGCTCTGCGACTCCCCTTGTGACTCTTCCCAAATAGATACCAGTATTCTTTGGAGAATCTCTCTTTGACTGTTATTTTTTTTATTTATTTTTTTCATTTTTTTTATTGATTGTTCAAAACATTACAGAGCTCATGATATATCATCTTTCATACATTTGACTCAATTGGGTTTTGAACTCCCCAAATACATAATGCAGACTCACTTCTGTTACATACTCACATTTTTACATAATGGCATATTAGTGACTGTTGTATTCTGCTACCTTTCCTATCCCCTACTATCCCCCCTCCCCTCCCCTCCCCTCCCATCTTCCCTCTCTACCTCCTCTGCTGTTGTTCAATTCTCTCCCCTTTTTCCCCCTCCCCCTTGCCCCTCATAACCTCTTATAATTTTGTGTATCACTGAAGGTCTCCTACCATTTCCATATGTTTTCCCTTCTCTCTCCCTTTCTCTCCCCCCATTCGTCTTAGTTTACTGTTAGTCTTTTCCTCATGAATGTGTTTGGTGAGTATTTGGCACAGGTGGGGTCACCCACTGAGCTTTGTGGTAGGGAACTTCTGGTGCCAGTGTCTGTGTCTGGGCAATTTCCTCTCGAGCTGATTCAAGTTGCTTAGGAAAGGTTTCTGTGTCTTTGGTTTTGGTTTTTTTTTTTTTTTTTTTAATTGCCTACCTGGAGGACTTGATTTCTGAGAGCCACTGTTAGAGAGTCAAGAACTTGAATGCTAGCCGCATTTCTCCAGGGAGTAGGACACACAGACAGACTTTCGTAAGGGGTTGGCTTACACAATCCTCAGGGCTGCCAGGTCTGCAGTCAGTGGGCATCAGCTCAGTCAGGAGTTGATGCCACCGTCATGAAGCAAAAGTTCCTTTTTTTTTTTTTCCTGGAAATCTCGGTTTTGCTCTTTTTGTTACTTAGGATAATGTGCTTTGCAGAAATCAACTGACTATGGCCACATCTACAAAATTCCTTCACAGCAACTTTTGGTTAGTGCTTGATTAAATGACTGTGCACTATGGCCTGACTACGTTGGCACACAAGATGAGCCTTCAGTCTCCCTACTCGATTAAATGGTCATTAACTCATCCAAAAGGAAGGCTTGATTCGATAGCTACTTATTAAGCACCTCCTGTATGCTGGCACTGCTTGGGCCTTTAGTCCCTCCCTCCTGCTCCCCAGGTGCTGGTGCTCACCACCCTGAGCCAGCGTTGCAGCTGCAGGGAAGAAAGCCCCATGTGTCACTGGGGGGAGGTCAAGTCATGTGGACAGCAGAATGCGGAAGGAGTGCCGGCCTTCTCCTAGAAAACTCCTCCTGGTGCCTCACCGCAACCCACTCCTTCCCAGGCGACCGCATGTCTTACCTGTCGTATGCTTTCCAGATCTTACCTCGCCTGGCTAGTCACTCACACCGTTGGTGGGAATGGAGACCAGAACAATCATGGAGAACAATCAAAAAATTAGAAATGGAATTACCCTGTGGTCCGGCAATCCCACTTTTGGATCTGATTCCAAAGGAAATGAAATCACCACCACCCATGTTCACTGCGGCATGATTCCCAAGAGTCAAGACACGGAAACACTGAAATGTTCAGCAGAGGGTGAGCAGGTGAAGACACTGTGATTCACATAGGGAATATTATCCTGCCCTTTGTGACAATATGGGTGAAACTGGAGGACATTATGCTAAGTGAAGAAACCAGGCACAGGCAGACAAATACCGCATCATCTCACACACATGTGATACCTGACCAAGTCAAACTCAAATTGACCAGATTATATTGTTCTACAGTTGCATGCATGAATATGTAACAATGAATCCTGCTGTAACGAATAATTATGATATACCAGTAAAAAATATTTAAAACAAAGTAAAATGTATAGAAGCTAGCACAGAACAGAACTTGCCAAGGAGCAGGGGTGAGGAAATGGGGGTATTTTGGTCAAAGGGCACAGACTTTCCCTTGTAAGATGGAAGAGTTCCAGGATCCAATCACAGGGTATTAATCTGTGGTAATCACTGTCAACATATACTTCTTAATATTTATTTTTTTAGTTGTAGTTGGACACAGTATCTTTATTGTGGTGCTGAGGATCGAACCCAGGGCCTCACACATCCTAGGCAAGTGCTCTACTGCTGAGCCACAACCCCAGCCCAACTGTCAACACATATGGAACCATCATATTGTACATCTTGAATATAGTCTATCTCTGTCAATTACTTTAAATAAAAATCACATTGCTACTTGATTAAAACAACTGCTTTGTAAGTACTTTACAGCTTCCATTTCCAGTCAGCTTAAAATCATAAATGATTACGAATTAAACAGCATTTGCAAACCTTGAAAGATTTCTGTTTGGAAAAATTAACAAACTGCATTTATATGTAATTAAAAGGAATAAACAGCATTTAAATTAAATGTGCTAATTAGCCCTATCTTCCCACAGTTGATCTAAATGAATGAAGCTTTGCTATCTTATAGGATTAAGCACCCCGAGGGCTTTTATTTTATTTACTGTCATTTGAGACATCATTTTCTCCTCTTAATAAATTGCCTCCACACGTCATAATGATAAGAACCCAAATTTTCTTCAGTTCCATCAAATCATTAATACAAATTATTGACCAAAGATATATGGAGCAAGATGTTCATCATAGCATTATGTCAAAGGGCAAAACTTGTAAGCAGCAAAAGCCCGACGAAATCTGGGACAAGCCCCACTAAAATGGCAGTTGTGTAGAGATGCAGGTGGGGTGGGAAGCTGATCATGCCCCAAGGCTGGGAAAATCAAACGGCAAGTCTGCCACCACAGAATGAGGAGGATGAGTTACTTTTGCAAATCTGGAGTAAAAGAGAAATGACAAAACCCACAAGCATTGTGTCACAGTGCTGGGATCATGAGTGTATCTCTCCCATTTATTTTCCAAACTTAATGTTATAGGTTATATTGAAAGACCCTAGCCCAGTTAGCCCAGTTACCTAAGGCCAAGATATGAAACCAAGATGCCAGGCACGCCATAAACAGGTTCAGGCTCCAGGCATGCTTTCCAGACAACCGGTTGAAGAACAGAGCACCCACATCCTGGGGCATGAATGAATAAACAGGAACAGATAAGCAGGAACAGAAAGAATAGAATGCAGACCTGTGGTTTTTGGAATGCAGACCTGTACCCCCTAGGTGGCCTATATGCTAGATTTAAACAAACCAATAAGAAACCTGTTGCTTCCCGCGTGCGCGAAACCTGTCCTAAACCCTATAAAAATCTCTGAATCCCCAAGCCCGGTGTGCCAGTTCACCAAAACTCCGGTTCTGCTGGGCACCCGCAGGCGCCTGTGTCCCAATAAACCTAAACCTCTTGCTTTTGCAGCCAGTGTTTCGTGTGATTCTCCTTGGACAGGGATACGGGGGTCTTTCATTGGATGGGGGTCTTTAACAATATGACTTATAATCAAAGATATTTTACCCCAAACACATTTTCGACCAGGCTGTGCTAGATGTTCCCCTTGTTCTAATGTAAGCACTTTCCCATAGAAAATTCTCGGGAGACTTTATTCAGCAAATCAGAATAGACTCCAATCCAAATTGCCAGACCTTCAGTTTTTGCAATTTTAATACCTAATTAAAATAATGGTTGGGACTCGGTAACTCAGAGAAACTCGGAGCCTGTCTGCCTTTGGGCCCACTGGCCAAATGGGCAGGCAGGTCCTTTCAAGAAGGGCTTTGCCACCGCTCTGACCTTAGCTGCAGTGTCCTGAGCCCCAGACTGACGCAGTTCAGGCACAGGTTTGGATTCTGGGCGATCTGCATCCACTAGGATCACACGCAGAATCCCTCCTCCCTGCAGCCTCGTGGCCTGTTATCACTGACTTTCCCATGAAATGTGGACAGCTACATTGGGATTCATTCTCTCTTCCCAGTAAAAAATCATTTGAAAGGTTAGAGTTATGGCCAGGTTGGGAGTGAGAGGAGGAAGGAGACAAACAAGGGAATTGTTGGTGGGTGGTGGTGATAGACACATGGGGCCAGGTGGAACCAAACACCTGCAGGGACCTGAGCAAGTGCTTCTGGAAACCCTGCTTTGCTACAGGGACAGATGTTGATCTGATTAGATCTGGGAGACTGTGCGGATCACTGGTCTGTCATTTCCTCCCCAGGTTCAGACTGCATCACTGCACAGGGGAGAAGCAGAATGGGGAGTGTCCTGGTCTGCACGGCAGGTGCTGAGGAGCCAGGCAGGACAGGACAGGACAGAAAGCCTGGGTCCTGCTGGGAGGAGGGGAAGGCGACTCCATGGGCAAGTGCACGGAATTAAAGGAGTGGCTCTCCTCAGAGAGCCTGCTGCGAGCCTCCCACTGAGAGCTCCTTGTGTCTCTCCAATTGCTTTTCTGGCAGAGAAATGATCTGTGTTCCCTAAACTTTATGCAAAGAGCTCCAATGGCAGGCTGAAGGGCAGATTCAGTAGTTATAGTCTGCCAGGGATTCTCAGGTGAAATTGTGTAAAGAGCAAACACTGTGCCTGGGGAACCACTGTCACAGAGCGTGCGCTGTGCTTGGTGCTCCCTATCCAAGTCGGAACCATCGACCAGCAGCCCTCTAGCACCTTTCCAATAGGTGCTGCATAGTTGTGCTTCATGCTCTATGGGAGGTGCCACCCAGCCCTCTGCCCTGGGGTGTCTGCCTGCAGAGATGGCGTTGTACAGCGCCCCGTGCATCTCAGTGCATGCAGCAGACCTGTCCCTGAGGTGGTCCGACTCCAACCTCTCCCTAAACAGTTTGGAGTTCCCAGTTTCTGAATTGGCTATCGCATCACCGTT